GGGTTGCTCCCTGGCTGGCTGGGGATTGAACCTGTGCTGCAGAGGCTGTGGACAGCTTCATCCTGCTGTGCTTAACCCCTTGTGCCACCAGGGAAGCCAAGAGTCACATTCATGCAAAAGAAAAATATCAATACTCCTATTTTCTCCTGAGTTTAGGTATTTGTCCTGCTCGAGGTCTTGGACCGAGACCAGCTAGAGAAGCAACAGGAGGTCACAGTTATTTCCTCCAGGAGAACAACGTGTTAAGAAGAAGAAATACTTTGCTTTTTCACCATTAAGTATAATGGTAATTGCTAAGTCTAAGTAAATGGCCTTTTCAGGATAAAACTAGTTTATTAAGTGTTTTATCCTGATAGGGTGTTGGGTTTTGTCAAGAGCTTTTCTGCATTGATTGATAAGATTATGTGGTTTTTGTTCTTTATTTTATTCAGATACAATGTTGTCTTGATTGATTTTTATATACTAAACTAAGCTAGATACTTGGGGCGAGACCCACTTTGGTCTTAGGCATAATCCTTTTGATATCCAAATGTACTGTTGAGGATTTTTGCATCTAATTTCATAAGGAAATCTATAATCTGTAGTAGACTATAGTCTTCTTGCGACTTCTTTTTCTTTTTGTGGTATCTGGGTAATAATGGCTTCATAAAATGAATTGGGAAGTGTTCCTCCCTCTCCTGTTCTTGCACGAGTTTGTGAATGAAGGTAATTCTTAAAATGTTTGTTAGAATCCACCGGTGAAGCCATCTGGACCTGAGCTTTTTTTTTTGTGGGACAGTTTTTGATTAATAATTCAATCTCTTTACTTGGTGTAGATCTATTTCTATTTTCTATTTGCTTTTGAGTCAGCTTTGGCATCTTGTGTCTAAGAATCTGTCACTTTTGTCTAGGTTATCTAATTTCTTGGCACAAAATTGTTCACGGTTTCCCCTTATAACTTCCTTTCCTTCTGCAAGGCTGGTAGAAATATCCCTCTCTCATTTCTGCTTTTAGTTATTTGGGTCTTCTTTCATTTTGGTAGTTTTAGCGAAAAATTTGTCAATTTTGTTGATCTTAAGCAATGAACTTTTCCTTTATTTTCTCTCTTCTCAACTTTGTTTCCACTCTAGTCCGTATAATTTCCTTCTGCTTGCTTTGGGCTTAGATTAATCTCCTTGTTTGATTTCTTGTTTTTTTTTTTTGTTTGTTTGTTTGATCATGGAAGGTTAGGTTGTTGATATGAGACCTTTTCTTCTTTTTAAATCTAGGCAGCTATTTCCCTCTAAGCATGACTTAGCTGCATCCCATCCTTTTTGCTATATTGGGTTTTTGTTTTCCTTCACCTAAATTTCAAACACATTTAGGAATGTGTTGTTTAATTTATACATATTTGTGAATTTCCCAAATTTCCTTCTGTTATTTATTTCTAATTTCATTCCATTGTGGTTGGAGAACATATTTTGCATGATTTTAGCCCTTTTAAATGTATGGAGTCTTGTTATAGGGTCTAACATGTGGTCTGTCCTAGAGAATGTTCCATGTGCACTTGTGGGTGAGCTCAAGGATTTCAGGGCAGATCAAGGAAGGATAGGAGTGTGTGCTGGCAATTGTACAGTAAGCTGATTATGGGGTATTAGGACGGGGGTGGTTGAGGGGGGAAGGAGAGGGTCTGCTGTGTCCAGATTATGTAACTCAGTAGCAAGGTAGGAGTCAGAGAACACCAAGGCAGCAGCTGCTTGAGGTTTTTTGTGTCGTCTGGGCTTGTCTTATCTACAGCTAACAGATATTGGTTATAGCTTTGCAGGGTGTGCAAAGCAGGCAGGCTCTAAAAGATGAAACATTCTCATTTGGGTATATTTAAAGCAATTGAATGTGTTAATTATTTGAGTTTAGTTTTGAGCTAATAGTCTAACTTATTATATTAAAAAAAAGTAAACATCATTTCTGGGCTCTCTATTCCATTGACCTATGTGTATGTTTTCATGCTGATACACACTGTTTTGATTACTATAGCTTTAAAATAGTTTGTAATTTTTTTTCCTGGGTTCATTTAAGATGATTATATGATTTTTACTCATTATTTTGTTAATGTGTCATATCACATTGTGTGTTGTGCTTTGAAGTTTTGATTTCTACTTGTGCAATGTGATTCATAAAAGGCAAAAATCACATTTTTTCATAATCTATATGCAGTGACTGCATGATGGGTGCCTGTGTCCTTGTCTGGATCTGCTTTTTTTTTTTTTAAATAAAGATTTATTTATTTATGCATGCAAGAGCTGGGTTACAGGTCAGAGGTGTGGGGGGATGGGGATCTGAGAGGATTCACCAGAGACAGAATAGGGAACAGAACAGGCGGATTGACTGAAATACACTGCTGAGAGGAACAGCGGGCCAGAGAGGAGAGGTCTGCTGCACCATGTGGATTAGCTCCCAGTCTGGCCAGGGGATCGAACCCATGCCTTGCTGCAGTGGCTGCAGACAGCTTCATAGTTCTGCAGCTTAACCCCTTCAGCCATCAGGGAGGCCCCTGGATCTGCTTTTCTAGGGGACCACTCTCACCCATCAAGAGTTGAAAGTAAACCAGAGTTGAAAGGTAAAAAACACAGTCAAATGATCATTCAATGAGAGAACAGAGAATGAGCAATCTAAGTTGCTATTAGATAAAATGGATTCTTTTAATCCATCCCAGTGTACTGATTGGGATACGTAGATAGAAACTTTGTCCTTTATGTGCTTAGGAAATTGTGCCCTCCAAACTCTTTCAAATGTGTCCTTGTGCAAGTACTCACTTCTCAAGTTATTTGGGAAGATAAAAATGGTATTACATGCACAGTAGAATTGTATATTTTATATCTTCTAACTTTTTTGTTTAGGCTGATTCCTTATTTGGGTCATCTGAGAATTTATTCACGGAGCACAGATCTTCTTAGGAAACACAGAACTCCAGTGTCCTTTGATTGTTTGCTTTCTTCTTCCAATAATGGATGGACATTCATGTCTTTATGTACCTACAAAAGAAATATGATAGTTGAACAAGTTAAGAATAATTAAGAATACAGTCATGATTATTCCAAGAATAAATAAGCCATATCTATGTGAAATATCACACAAAATGAATTGAAAAATTAAACAAAACCTACCTGCACTGCCCAAGCACATCTCATTGACTTTAGTCTTGTCAAAGCAGTGAGCACTGAGAGTCCACAGGGAGCAGGCATGGCAGGAGGCAGACATGAGGTGATGCCTGAGCTGCTAGCTCCTTGCGGTGTGATGGAGGAGGCCATGTCTGGCCTTAACTTGCTCTCCAGAGTGGAAGTTTCTGCATCCAGTATAGAAGCAAGTGGCTTTGGGCTTGATTGGAAGGAGTTTTCAAAGGTCAGCTCCTTCTAAATTGTTTTTTAGTTTTGATGCATTGTAAATATTTCTGTCATCTAATTCCCAAATCCTAGATTTACTATTTCCTTTCTTTTCCTTCTCTCTCTGTCTCTGCCTCTGTTTCACTCTGTCCTTTTCCATCATCCCTCGTTTCCTGTTCCAAATGTTTACAAGTTTTGGCCTTGATGCATGAATGTCCTCAACTTGTGTAGTCCATAAATGCCTTGCAGGAAGAAGGCTGATGTCTGGAGTTTGTGGAATCAGATGAGAAGCAGCGAAGCAGCAACCCAGAGGAAAGGAGAGGAGCTGCCCAAATCCTGCCACCCAGGTAGCGGGTGCCATTGTTGTTTCATGCGAGCAGAACTTCAAGTTCTGCTGGGAGGTCAGGGATGTGCATTCAGGAAACTCTCAAAGTAAATTGACTAAATACAGTCCGACCAAATCTTCACATGAACACCAGGACAACTTCATATTGGGAGGGGACACCTTGCACTCACATCTTGCTTGTCCTTATATTTCCTATTACTTACCAGCTCCGTACTTATATTATGTAATTATTTTCTTTCATTCCCTAATGTGTCCCCCGCTCAGCACAGGGCCAGGCACAGGGCCAATAAATATTTGTTGAGCAGATGAGTGTCACCACGATTCTATAATCCATGCCAGCAGCATTTGTCATCTGAGAGGCCTGGGTTTCAGCTGTGGTTCTGCCTCTTGGGAACCAGGCTGTCTAATTCCTGAGTCTTAGTTTCCTCATGCGTTTAATAGAATTTCTCTGTAGCTCTCAAATAAAACAGTGAAGCATTTGGATGGACAATTTGTAGATGGATGTCTAGCTCCTTCTCATCCTAAAGCTGTTTTATCACCATCCTCTCCCTTCCCACTGCCTTTCATGGATATTCTTCAAATCTTGGCTTTTTAATTTGATGTTACCATTTAAGTGGGGAAGGAATGAACATTTTGGTGGTGATTCTTCTTTGTCATCGGAAGGACATCTGAAAATGAAAAGCACCACTAAAGCTCATGAACCTCAAGTTTAGGGGTGCAGCCGTATGGCTGTAACTGAACCCGTAAGGGACTGTAAGCAAGTAAGTTCTTAGCCTGCAACGCTGTTCATCCCTGCAGGGTCCCCAGTGGTAAAATTGTAGAGATATAAGGCACAGGGCAAGCACCAGCTGGCAGGGTGGGGAAGATACTTTCTAAGTATCTTAAGAAGCAGACACTTTTGAAAAATATCAGATGGCTTCACTATAGGAGGAATAGAGGAGAACCAAATAAGGGATCACAGGAAAAAATAATAACAATAAATAAATAAACAAAATGAACAGGCAACTACAAATCAGAAACATTTTTGCAGAGAAGGGGAAGAAGAGGGATCAAAATAGGGGAAGGAAGAGCACAGGGACTATGGTGGTGGGAATTGGTGGTGGGAATTTTACAGGCACCACACCTGAGAGGAGAAAGCATACATTGCACAAAAATGAACAATGATATAAAATACATATGAACAAATAAATTATAAAAAAAGAAGAAGCAGATACTTGAAACTGTGGGAGGGCTGGGCTTGCAAAGCTCAAGGTGACCTTTCTCTTCCAGCCCCTCCCATTCCTTCCACCAAGAAGACAAGACGAAAGAGGAGGAGGTAAAACAGGAGGTCAAGTTTATGTACAAGAATATAATGTTTATCTGAAATATTTACAGGTTGGTTAAAGCAGTATTTTTACAACTCTTTAAAGGTCAACTACTATGTATATTACAGGTCAGCTACAATGGTTTACTTTGCAAAATTAAGTAGAAATGTTTTCAACAAAGCTTAAAGTACTGAGGTCAATTATAAAATTTGTCGGCTTTGCCCTTTATTCAAAGAAATCAAGCTATGGTGCTTAATGGTGCACTTTATAAAAAGGGAAGTTCTCGATCTGGAAATGCAGTACATGCTAGGGTTGGAACTTCCCAAGAGGGTGTAGAATGACAGCGAACTGTCCTAAGACTTAGGCGCCTAGTCAGTCTGGAACTGAGGGTGATGTTGAGATAACAGCCAGCTCTATCTCAACCGGGTTTGCAACCTGAACACTTTGGGCCACATAGAAAAATGAAGCGATTTGTACATGATCGCAACCTCAGCGGAAAGTGAAAATCAGTTGACCCAAATCAAACTGAAGGAAAAAAGCCAAATCAGACCCAAGTCACAGTTGCCTCTATTAAAAACTATCTTTAAAGTGAACTATTTTAAAACTTCATAAAAATATTTATTAGTTTGGACATTTCTACAAGATTTGAGTGGATTTTTCCTTTATGTGAAAACAGCTATCCATTCCTGAGGCCTCCTACGGCCATATAACTCAGGAAATGCTGGGGTGCAAACGTGCAAAAGGCAGGGAAACTGCTCCCAGCTGGGGCTGGCGCTGCGGAGACTGTGCTCGGGAGAGTAGCGCTGAGGTCCGGGAGAGGAGGCAGAGGTGAGGTGCCAGGAGCAGCCGGAACTAGCACTGCAGCTTGCGGATGCTGCGGGAGATGCGTTTGAACTCTCGCTGCCCCTTCTGCCACCGCTTCACCGAGGTGATCACCAGCTCCCCGCCCAGTTTCTGTCCCATGACCAGATAGGGCGCGTTGATGTCATTCATCTCCTCGCAGGTGCACTGCAAGCTGTCTTTGAGCCACAGCACCGACTTCTTCAGGTCCCTTTCGGACACACCGTTCAGCTTGTAAATGGTCTTGCTTTTGGTCTCCAGGATGATTTTGGTGTCTCTGTTGATGTAGGTGATTTCCTTCACTTTTATCTTCAGTGCTGTGAAGACAAAGGGGGGCAGGAGGACTCCAGTTATGAGGGAACACAGTACAGACCAGGAGCTCCTCTCCTCACCCCACTCCACTGCCTCTTGGTGTGATTTGGCTTGGGGTGGGACAAACTTTCTAGAGCTGATGAGACTGTGAGGGCTGCAGGTAGGGGGTTGGGGACTGGGGCAGCAGGTGGCTCCATTTCTAAGGCCTCAAAGGGTTAAGCTTTATTTTAAACCAGCCATCCTTTCAAAACACTCTTTGCAGGGATTCAATTAACTTTTCTTCTTTGCCCTTGGTTCTACATAGGTTGCATGTGGTTTGTGCTCTCCCCAACAAATGACTCCCCTATTGGAAACTTCAGCATGAAAAGAAATACCTAACTCTTAGGTGAAACATGATCCTTCTGTGGCCGTAAACTTTAAACTCAATTTATTACGTAGGAGAGGTTTTTGGACAAACCTGTAAGGAAATTATATCACACAATCATTGTTTTCTAAAGAACAGACTACAGGGAAGGGGAATTGATCTCACAGCTGCATTTGATTTGGTAAAGTAACTAACTAGGAGAAAAAATATTCAAGACTCTTTTTAAGAGCACAACATGCTTAGCTGTAAAAGTGCTTTTCTGAAGACCTCATCTGTATGTCTATCCTCTGCTTGTCCCAGGCCAAGCAACTACAGATCATTGTATGCACAGTTTCCAAAATGGATACGTGGACTCATTAAGCCAAATGTAAGTGGTTTACTATAAAAGACACATTTTATAGTCATGAACAGAATGTGTGGGCAAGAAAACCCTACAAACATGCTGTCATAACATTTCAAGACTCCACGTTGGCAGAGAAAGGGTAGGATTTTTAAGTTTGGAAGGGCCTATCCAGTTAAAATCTCTTATTAGTACTTGAAGCATCTGAAATCCTGACTTGAGTGACTTACACAAAGTGACCAGGTAAGGTTGTCCTGGCCAAGGCTAGTCCCCAGACCTCTGCCTTTAATGTCACTTTGGTCTCTCAAGAAACATTCACTCTTGATCTGGTTAGAGCATTAACTCCCCCAACTGTCCTGTGTCCCAAGACCCTTGGTGCCATAGACAGATCTATGCATGTGACACATTAGCCTAACTACTAACTTGGGTGGCGCTGAGTAATTTGTTTAAACTGGCAATAGGAGAATAGGCTTGTGTGTGTGTAACTACTCTGGGGGACTCTCGAAAGGAAATGTGATGGAACATGACTTTCCAGCCAACCAGGCAAATCAAGGATGCCGTGACTTGGCCCAACTATGCTTTTGTCTGATGTGCATCTGAACCCTAGTACTGAATTCCCAGAGATTATGAAATGTAAGTCATGGAATAAGCAATGGGCGGGAGGGGAAGCTGTATGTTCGGAGAAGTGATTCAATGTTACCTGGAAGCCTCACCTAGAGCACAGTTAAGATTTCACCTGGTCACATTAAACATTCTTGAGTTCAAAACATCAGAAAAATCATGACTTTTAACCAGAGGAGGGTAATCACTTACCCTCCTCTAGATATAAAATGGCCAACTTTGCAAAAGCTTACCATTGGGAAGCGCCAGCTATTTTCTCCCTGGATTTCTGACTAGGACCAAATATTAGGAAATCAGAGCACCAAAATAACTCTTCCTGTCCTGGGGATGTGAACAGAGATGGAGGATGTGGAAGGAGGCAGAGGAGACGATACTGTCAGACCTGAAAGTAGGGGTTCCACGTAGGCAGTGGCTGCGGGCTATTCTGCGTCTGCAATTCCCTGAGCTCTAGGAGCACACAGAAGAGTGTGATGCTTTCCGGGATGACTCAGGTTAAATCAGAGACTCCACGTCAGTTGTTCTGCTCTGCATCCATCACCCCCTGAAGTACAGAGGAGTGCGGACTACTGCTTACATACCAGGCTCCGCTTCCTACAATTCAGTTTCTTGATCCTTTTTGGGCCAAAATGAATGTAGGGAAACAGAAAACAGCCTGAGAGGTACCTCTGTGTGTGATATATTAAATACTTTCATGTTTGGAAAGGTCATCTCTCTCAAAGGAGAACACACACACACACACACACTTTTTGGCACAGGCAATCCTGATTGCGCATCCTTCTAGAGGTATTCTGTAATGTCACAAAGCAAGCCTGCCTGCCACCAAGCAAGCAGGTAATTGTGTGTGTGTTCCCTAAATTCAACTATTTGGAGCCCCATGATACAACTTTTTTTTTGGAAGTCACTAGAGATCTATATTAAATCTAGAGCAAAGAGCATTGGTTGCCAGAAGAAAATGTTATTTTACGTACATTTTGGGATACATATTACTAAAAGTGTATTCTCTCTTGCCTATAATCAAATCTTGCACCACGGAAGCTAGGAACTGTGCCTGGTCAGGCACTGGGTTTGCGGCGGCCATGTGTTTGGCCTCCACTACTTTGACAGAGGCACAGCAAACCCATTCACGTGGCCTGTGGCTCGTACTTGTGGGGGAAATGTCGGTGAGGACTTGTAATTGTCTCCTTTCCTTTCACCCTTCCTCAGTGGTGTAAAGCTTTTAAGCCCCTGGTGGAGGCTGTTATGGGACCAGATAAGATTAAACCGGGGATATGTCCTGAAGAGACCTGGGAATACGGGCAGTGATGGATTGTTCCTAGAGTTTCGGGGACCTGAGCAGATCTGAGATTTGGGGATGGCAAGGGATGGAGGAGGGCATCCCTCAGCAGTGGAGCTGGAGTGATTCAGTCTCAGGGCCTGTGTGGAGTAGGCAGAGGCAGAACTTAATCTGGCTTGTTCAGAGCCCATGACTGCTTGGCAGAACAGGGACCATCTGTTTAGCAGGAGCTTCAGCATGTATCAGACTACATATCCCCCTGCCCCAAGTCATCATTCAGGGATCCTGCAAAGCTTTATTTTTGTTCTTTTTACATTTAAAGAGCCCTTCCCTACCCCAAATTATTAGCCAGTACCCTGGATATATTCACTAGTGGTGGAACACAGAGAACAAAACACTGCGGGTTATGAATAAAGTAGAAATACGTCTTTTTTGGCACTGGAGTAAATGTTTATTTGTGGCCAGCATAATGCCTGGAATCTATTTTGCTGGGGCTGATACTGACATGTTTTTATCCCTAGTGCATGTCGAGTGACTGAAAGAGAACATGGTCCAGGATTGTGTGCTTGTTGGCAAGAAAAAGTCAAAGGGAAATGAGGAATGGGCCGCTGAAAATTCAGACCTTGAATAATTCTAATCATTTGATTATTGCTAAAACAGGACAATGCACTCACCTCAAAAGACACACCTCAGTACAAGAGGGTTACATAGTCAGGACATGGGAAATGCAAGTTAGGTGGTTTTAGGAAGGATGAGCTGTGATGGTGTTTTACCCAATCCTCAAGTAACATCTGCATGCTCCGTACCTTAAAGTTATTGTGAATTCTTGCGAATGTCAAACCTTTTGTTGTCGGTGGTATATTACTTACCAAAATCATTTTTACAAAGAGTTTCCATTATGTCGTTGTCATCTTCATTTTTATTTTTGCAGGCTTCACAGACCTTTGGGGCTGGAAATATGAAAAATTAGTAGGTTTGCTTCAAAGGGAACAGCAGGTGGCATCTGTAAACAACTCAGCTGGGCAAGAATGTCTATTGTCCCGGGATCCCCCAGACTCTGCCTGCTTCCTAAGGAGTCTCCCAGGCCTCCCTCACACCCACTTTTGGTTTTTTTTTGATGGGCAAAAAGAGAATACCAATATTGAATAAATGATGTAGGAGAGTGGGCAGGTGTGGCTACAGGACTAGGGGCATGACTGGACTTTTTAGCTCTTTCTTCTGGTCCCTGAAAAAGCTGACTCCAAAGCCTCTTTGAGGAGAAAGCACCAGAAGACCCTTGAGGGATTTTTGGCCAAAAGATCATCCTCAGCTGCAGGTCTTTGGCCCAGTCTCTGCTGGGCTCTCCATGGTCTAGCCATGGTGAGGTCACAGGTGGGCTCTTTCCACTTTGAAACACACCCCATTACCGTGACAGCCTCCTCTAATGGCTGTAATCACTTGGGCCAAATTCGTGCAGGTTTTAAGTAAGAGTATTTCATTGTTATCTTTGTCTCTGCCACAGGGTCTTTCCCTCCTTTTGCCTGTTTCAGACTTTCAAAAAACAAAAGACCAAAAATCCACCAAATAAAACAGCCAAAACTTTCTTGAAGATAATCAGCGTAGGAACAAATTGTCTCCTGGGCCAGGAGAGTGGGCGGAAGGCTCTTTGGAGAGCCTGATTTCTTGGGAAAAGGAAAAAAGAAAATATGTTCCTTTTCTACTAAATATTTATAAATGCGTTAATGCTCTCTAAAATCTAGCTGAAATGAGATTTTCATTAAAATAAAATTGAATTTGCACTGAAAAAGCTTTAGGTGACTCATGATAGAAGAGGTCATCAAAATAGAGAAACCGTGGAGCCTGTTTCAAACAACATAAACTTCCATTCTGAAGATGGAAATGACCTGTGTAGAAATGGGGTGTGTGAGGTTGATGTTGATAGTAGAAAGAAACAGGAACAAAAGCCACACACATAAAACTGCCCTTAACGTCTCTCACCCAAACAAAATGAAATATTTCCAATTAGGAGCTCTGGGAATGTACATAAAATGTTTCTAACCTGTATTGGTTGGTTTTGGTATATGTTGGACAAATGTTCGAAATATGCCAAACATTTGCTATAAATTAGAAATCTAACCAATAAGATGATTGCAAGCTCCCTGTGCCTGCCAGGAAAGATTGCTAGGCAACTTTGCATTTTCATTGACTAAGGATGGCTGCAGGAAAGCAATTATCTAGGGGGGAGATGCTGCTGAAGCCCGTAAAGGAATTAAGTAGCCCCCTTTCCATTCCGGGCAGCCCAAATCAGCTCAGACACACGTTTGTTTCCTTTTTCAGGGGGGCATCAGAGCCCATGTGGTTTTCACTGCTTTGATGATTTTTGTGCAGGAACTCCGTTTCCTAAAAACTTGGAAAACACTTCTTTTTTTTTGCATGATTTTCTCCAGTTAATTAAAACCACTCCTAAAAAGAAGCTGATTAGTGATAGTGCGTTCCTGGGGGTTTCCTCTATGCCCACCTGAGCAGTTACAACAATACTCAATTTTCAACAGGCGCTGAGTCAGCTCTGCTTTTATTTCCAAACTTTAAGTCGGCAAAGAACCAAAGTATCTTTAAAGACTGTGAATTTTGACTCTCCCGCTAGTCCGGGAATGTTCCTGGGCGGAGAACCGTCCCGGGTAGGTGCTGTAGGAGGTGGAGGGAGCAGTCTCTGGCGGGGTGCTCACCGCGGTGCGCACCACCCCCCTGCGCTCTCAGCATTGGGCCCCCCCCCGCGCCAGCGTCTTTAGCAGCAAGATATGTCTAGGAGGAAAAGCCGCCTTTCAAGTCTTTCTTTTCTGTCCCTAAGAAAGAGCAACTGGTTTAACTTGGGAATGAGAGACGGGAGTGGAGGGGCGTCTCAATTTATCGCGACGACAGACCAGGACAAGAGGCGTCTCTGCCCCGCCCCGCATTGGCGCCCCCGGGGGTGCGCACCCGTTATGTGAGACGGGGCCACGGGAACCCCACAAAGGGCCTTGGGTGAGAAGGGTGATGTCGGATAAGGGGGAAGGCTTACCTTCCTCCGTGGCCGGCAGGAGGTGATCACTGCTGGCGAGAGGGATGCAGAGGTCGTTGTCCTGGGGGAAGCGGTCGCACTCCAGCATGTCCGGCCAGGGGAAGCCAAAGGCGGACATAACAGGGGCGCAGCGGTCCTTCACCTGAACGCAGAGCGAGTGGCACGGCTGGATGGTTTCATCCAGATCGTCGAGGCAGACGGGGGCAAAGAGCGAGCACAGGAACTTCTTGGTGTCCGGATGGCACTGCTTCATGACCAGCGGGATCCAGGCGCCCGCCTGCTCCAGCACCTCCTTCATGGTCTCGTGGCCTAGCAGGTTGGGCAGCCGCATGTTCTGGTACTCGATGCCGTGGCACAGCTGCAGGTTGGCGGGGATGGGCTTGCAATTGCTGCGCTTGTAGGAGAAATCGGGCTGGCCGAAGAAGAGCCCCCGCGCCGAGCCCAGGCAGCAGTGCGAGGCGAGGACGAGGAGCAGCAGCGAGCCAGGGCCTCGCGGCATCATGGGCGCGCGACCCCCGGGGGGGCAGAGGGAGCGGAGCCGGGAACCAAGAGGCGGCTGGGGGCCCGAGCTCGTCCCGGGCCCGCTCGCTCGGCTCGGCGGGGCGGCTTGGAGAGGCCGCAGGAGCGTCGAGACGCGGCGCGCTGGGAGCACAGCGCAGGCGAGGCGCCCTTTGCTCGGCTTCGCGCCGCAAACCCGCGCGCAGCTCCGCGGGCTCCGACCCGGGGGAGCAGAGTGAGCCGCTGCTGGGGCCCAGCCAGAGTTTTCTGGGCCCTTTTTATGCAAATCTGGAGGGGGGGCGGACAAGGGAGGAGCCTGTGGGGAGTAACTCGAGGAGGGTTGGTCACTACCCTTTAGGTCTGGTTTTCCGTTGAGAATGTCCCTCATGCGCTCCCTAGAAGTAAATTCTGCACCCCACCCCACCTCCCCGTGCTGCCAAGCGCGAGCTCAAGGATCGCTCCAACAACAAACCTACAGACAAGCCTGGCGCCTGCGTCCCAGCAACAACAGTGCAGGGCGCTGGCTGCGGGAGTTGGGGGGGCGCGCGGTTGAGCAGCCTCGCGGCCAGGTCCCGGCGGGAACGCAGCCTGTCCCCCCTCTCTCCCGCGAGGCTCGGGTTTGTTTGACCCCAGCCAGAAATTTCTGCACCCGTCCCTGGCCTCAGGGGCCAACTGGAATCCTGGGAGCCGTGACCCGGCAGCCCCGGGGCTCTCTGTGCTTCGGCTCGCGCCCCGGGACCTGCACGCCCGAGGCGTCTTGGCGAATTTATTTTCGAATCTCCAGCCCCAGTTTGAGCCTGGCCCAGCCTAGACGGTGTGCTCCTCTCGCTCACTTTAGAATCAATATTAAAAAGTCACAGGAGAAAACCTATACCTGGAAAAGGAAATAATGCGTTGGGGGTATTATTTTGTTGGTGAATGTCTAAGATTTTGCCGTGGTGGAAAGGCCTTCGCTCTGCCCACCACTTCTCGCTTTGGAAGGGGAGACCTGCCTGGCCTCCTTCCCTCAACGAATGGGCTGTTTCTTTGCTCCTAAACACCGTGCAGCGTGCGCTCTCGAGAGACAGAGTACGTGCTCCCTGGGTACGTTTTGGAAAATTTGGTGCCGAACCCAAAACACTGTCCGGCAGAAAGTGCGCCAGGTGGGCAGCCTGGAAGGGGTGGGAGCAGACAAAAGAGTCCTGCCAGGGATCCATGAGGCCTAGTACCGGCCTGGCAGAACCGGTTCATTCATCCTATACATGCCAGAGGGCACCGTGCTGGGCGCCGGGTGTGCAGACGGGAGCAAACACAGGCTGGCATCAGCCCTCGGAGGGCTGGAGTTCTGGTGCCCTTGAGAAGTGCAAACTGTAAGTTCGCAGCAGGAAGCCGGGTCGGAGGTGACAGAAAGGGAAGGCATGTGCCTGAGGCTCCTTACCGTAATCGCCCCAAGTCTCACTAGAGGCAGGTCATCTCTCGGACCCCTCCTCCTCCAACCCCCCCCACCCCCAAGGGCGTAGGTCTGAGGAGCTGAACCCGGGAGAGCAAGCTCCCCCAGGTTCTTTCATATGCAAGGTGGGCGCATTGTTATTGCTTCCGGGCCTCTAGGACCATCCTCAGGCTCTGCCCGCCGCGTCTCCATCCCTTCCTTCCGGAACAGGCCGTGGCAGGCGCATGGCCGTTCGATGGTCTCACCCATCCTAGGCCTCCAGTTGGATGGAGGGCATTGCCCAGGCATTTCCATGTCCCTGAAATCCCTACTTGCAGCTTTTCTCCTTGAAGCGGGTGCTCCGCCGGGGACGTGTCGGGCCGGCAGCTAAAGGCCACTCTTCTCGCCGGGTTGGCTCTGGGGCCTCTCGTTCCTAACTGGATCACCACCAGGCTTATCGGCTGCGTTGCTCAGCACAAGCATTTTGAAAAGAAACCCCGAATGAAACGGAAGCGCACCCAACCAAACTGCCAAGCAGGGCCTGAGCTCCGGGAGACGCTAGGACTTGGGTCCCGGAGTGGCACGAGGGCCCTCCCTTCTCCGCTGTCCCCAGGCGCCCCAGACCCCCTAGTGCCCCGCTCAAAAGAGCCGGGAGCCCGTCGGGCAGGTTAGAGGCGATGCGAGCCTGCACACCCGGGAGGGGCTGGGGGACTGGAGCCCCGCATCGTTGTTTCGGGAGCCAGCGAGGCCAGATTTGCCGCCAGGGGGCGCCGGGGGTCGCGCTGGCGTCTCTGCTCGCGCGCCTCGGGTACCCTGGTTCCGGGGCCCGCGCCCCCTCCCAGCGCCACCCAGCCTCGATCTCACTCCGCACAGGCCACCTCTGCCTCCACCACCCGGACGCGCCCCACTCCCTTCCCTGTCACGGCTCGCCCGCGGCCGGCCCCGCGCCTACCTGCATGCCAGGCGCGCCCCAGGGACGAGCTGAGAGCAGTGGGTTGGGGCGGGGCGCGGGCGTAGGAAAGGAACCCGCTTTGGGGGCTGGGAATAGAGCGCGCACCTCTCCGTGGAAAGCGCACGGACGCCGACGCTTGGGGCCAGTCCCCGCGCGCCTCCCCAGCCGGGTCCGCGCGCAGCCGCCGAGGTGCGCTCACGGGGTGCAGTCCCGCAGCCGCGCCTTCGGCAAAGCGGACGCTTCGGCCCTCCTAGGTGGCCTCCCGGGCCTGTGGGTCTCCTTGCAGGTCATCAAAACTGCCAAAGACTTTTGCTTTTATAAATTGAGAGCGAGTAGTTACCTCCCCTGCCTCCCCGACCCATCCAGTGCCTGCCCAATTTAGGAAGGAAAACTATTCCCCCAAAGCCAGGGTAAGTGGCATCGGGTGGGTAAGTATACCCGGCAGCCCGCTTAAGGGGGCTGCCCAAGCGTCCCTGTTGATGGGGTTCATCCTTCACCCCACCGGTGAACAACCACCCCCACCCCCGCAAAACTGCGGCCTGAAGAGCTTCCACAACCCGTGTACCTGGCTGGACCCCACCTCTGTCCTTGAGTGTTTTCTGTTGTCAGGGGCCGAAGAATATTGTGGCACAAAGTCCGCCAACCTGGCAATAACGGGACTGCTTGGGTAAACCTGTGCGGGCTAGGAGAGCTTCCAGGCGGCAGGACCCCCACTCCAGCTCAGGTTGTCCCGTGGGAGGGGTCTCCAGGCTTCTTAGCTTGCGTCCAGGGACTTGCTACTCCTTTAGAGGGGATGCTTGGGTTTCGACATTGCTAACTCACATGCCCCCCTCCTGGGACGGTTTAAACCTTTACAACTACTCATGAGTCGGGATTAAAACGCTTACACAGGGCTGGCGGGGGGCTATTTGGGGGAGCCGGAAGAGAGACATTCCGCACCAAAGATAAGCCTGCAATTGCCCACTGAGGGCAACCTTGTCTCCTGAAATCCCCATTGCCATTCGGTAGGTGGGTGTGATTATTTTTGCAAATAAATGGTCAGGAGTAAACTGAGGCACGGAGGACTTTAGAAACTGGAGCCAGGCTGCACAGCGAGTGTCCAGCCGCCGGGGTTATACGCGCCACGGCGCGGGGAAGTTAGGACAGCCCGCGCAGCCTTTGGGGACGCGTCCTGACCATTTGGGGATTGCAACGGCGTGGTGCTGGGCGCTGGTCCGCGAGCCGCGGGGTCACGTCACCTCCTCCGGGTACCGAGGCCCCGGGATCCCGGCTCCAGGGTGGGCGGAGCGGCGCGCCAGCCCCAGCATCTCTCCCTGGGATTTGCTGCTGCCATCTGGGGGCGCCAGTTCCCAAAACTGATGCTCCTGTTAGGTGGGGGTCGCTTCCTTTGCGCTGTTGAGCTCGGAGATCCTTTACGCTTTGACAAGCTGGGCGTGAGGGTGACTCTTCTGGAGGATAGGCGTCGCCTTGTTCTGTCGCCTTTGGTCCTCCACCCCCCGCAAGGGCGCTCCCTGCGTCTGGTTGGGAAGCCTCCTGGCGCGGTGCCACACAGGGCAGGTGTCGGGCGCGCACTCAGCTCCCTGCGAGCCCCAGGCCCCCGAGGATGCAAACGTAGATTTCCGACAAGGAGGTCCAGGCCAGCGACACAAGAGCCTTGCCTCACGTATAAAGACGAGAAGGGTCAAGTTTGAATAAGAACAGTCTGCAGTTAACTCACGCTCCTGCGCTTATCTCCTGCATTAAGATGTCAGGGGGCCGCTAAACTCTAGATCAGAGCTGGAAAAGCAAAGGGTGGGTCCAGGGAGGCTCTCAGTTGGCGAGTGCGGGGGGGCCTGGTGCCGCGAGCTGGCCAAGGCAGAGGAGCCAGGAATGCGGTGGCCGCGGATCAACTGGAGCCCAGGATCCGGAGCGCGGCCAAGGTTCCCTGCAGAGCCATCCCTGGCCTTACCTGCTGGCCACCTTGCCGGGCAGAAGCCTGCCCAGGATGGGGGCTGTCGTCTATGAGAGCTCGCTGGGTGGTGGGTAAAAGCCAGCGTGAACCCCTGAGGTTCAGAGACCTGTTTGTAGCAAGTACAGTGAACGTGATTTTTGAGAAAGGCCTGAAGCAGTAGATAATTTTGGAATTCAGTGGAAAGTGACTAAAAAAATGACGAATTGCACCTGCAGTGATAATCCAAGTACTGCAGCAGACCAGTTCCTCGCTCTGGCCCAGCTGTCCTGGAAGCGCCCAGGAGCAGGTTCACAGAGCGCTTCTTTCAGGAGCCGCTGGAGGCTCAGCTTGGCGTCCCTCTGGGGTTTTGCCTGGAGACCAATTTCCTTTTCTTGTTTTGTTCCCTCAATGAGAAAAGTGGTCCTTAGACATTTCGGGAGAAAGGATGGGCTTAGTTTGCTTTAAAAACAAACAAAAACAATCACCATCCAAATAAAAACACCCCCGGATAGTTAGGGACACGGACTCTGGGAAGGAAATTCCATTTCTGTTGAGGGCACAAACCCTCCCCACAACGTCTGGTTTCCTGCATAAGGTTTCAAATTTGCTGGGCCAGTCCTTGGTCATTGGGGTGCAAACATTTGAAATTTGTGTACACCGAGTGGGTTTGTGCTCTTAACTAGAGAAATACTCATGGAGTAGCCCTCCTAAGCAAGGACATCTGTCGGCGGCTTTTCCGTTTTCGCTCCCCTGCCCCATTTTCTTCCCAACTTCCCTGCCTTGCGGGTCCCAATATTTATTGCTCACCAGTGTGTTGCAATTGCCGATGTGGCTCTTGAAATGAAGCATCTCCTAATTGTTCACATTAATGCATTCTGAATGGAAGCGGCTCAACCCCAGGCTGGTGGTCCAGAAGCTGCAGTGTGTCTGGGAAGCCAGGCCTCCATTGTCTGATGTGAACAGCAGGGGTCACTGGCTAAGCTGGTGTTTCACTCTGGTGGGAATTTATTGCCTTCAGATAAGACTGCAAAGTCAATACAATAAAGCTGGCTGTCCCTAAAACCACAGATGCAGTCTGAGTTCTTGCACACATGTATGATCTTTCCAGAGACAGCCCCTAGCATAAAAATCCCTTCATCATTTTTACAGAACTGAATTTTAGGGACACCTTTTCATGCTCTGGCTCTTTCTCAGTAAGTTTAAGTCTCTTTAGTTTGTACTGCCCAAATG